TCCAAATGGAGCGGTGTGCCAAAGCAGCTCAAGAGACCCATACTGCAGCATGCATTACGGGAACCATGGATCTGGACAGCATTTTATGTCAAGCTATGAAGGCCTGTACGGAAACTAGCAGTTTGGGTAGTAAGTTTCAGGGAGGCCTTCCGAAATCAAATACCTTTCTGGCATATACCTGGCATTACCTAGCAAGAAAGGCTGAAGACATTCAATAGCTCTAGCCTTACCAAAAAATACCCATTTCAAACAGTTTACTCAGATGTTGCTTGTACTACTGTCCTTCAGGCTGATGAGAGGACTGTGACATGATGTATTCCTCCTTATGGACAACTTCTGTCGTTGTGCACTGTGAAATAACCTTGTTCCGTCCACGGATTCCTAGATGTATGTACAATGAAAACCCCCATTTTTAAGTATTCTTGTATGCTTATCAACATATTTTAGGGAGCCGGTAATTTATCTCTCTTGGTTTACTGAAAGGATGTCCTGTTATCAGCAATTCTACATTCACCATTCAGTAACTATGCAAATAGAGACCAGCATGGAGAAATTTAAAATAATCCCTGCATCAGAGAGTACACCATTTTCACAAAGGTAAAAAAAAAAAAAAAAAAAAAAAAAAATGGAAATTGACTATTTGACTGCTTTTATTTTTACTTAGATTGTTCTATAAAGTGTTGATAGTATGTTCTTCTAGTCTACAGATCACAAAGGAATTGCACTTGAAAGTACAAAAAAGATGTTCAGGGGTTCAGGTTTTTAACCATGTTTGTAACTCTGCTTTTTAGCTTTGAAAAAGAGAAAATACTATCTTTCACTTTTGCATTTTTAGAGAGAAAAAGTGATGTTACTATCGGTAGTTATCAAGTAAGGGAATGTTTTCTGTAGTTACATAGGTTATTTTTCAAATTTTTTTTATTAGTCTCCCTATAGAACTACCGGGGACTTCAGTGGGAGATAAGCATCCATGCTTGTTTGCAGCTAGGAGCACTAGGCCTGATCATTTCTTGTTGTCATACGGCACATACCGTGTTTCAGTCCATGAAGTGTTTTTGTCATTTCTCTACTTATGGGTTCCGACAGGCAAGGCGAACAGCTGCCGCACACCACCTAGTGGTGCCCAGCATTCCCTCCCACTCATTAAACAGGGTTTAACTTTCCTCCCATCTCTTCAGTTCAGATTACTTCTCAAAACTGCTGCCACCACAAAGTCAAATTCCGGCCCGGATGAAGTCAGTCAGAACTACCCAGCGTTTTTGCATGCTGAACAGTTAAACATAATATTGAATATGCCTTAAACGATACAGCCATCACACTCTTCCTTCTTCCACAGAGACACAGGCAGGTGCTTGGCAATTTTAGGTTTTGGATTATGAGTATATATGGTTTTGGCGTACGAACATACATATTGTAAAAAATCTTGGCCAACACTTTTTTCCTATGCTAGCCTAAAAACGTTGTTTTACATTAAATTCCTTACTGTATTTATACTTCGGGGTGAAACAGATACAAAGTATCTAAAGGTAGGGGAAAAAAAAGTATATAAAGCTTGTTTAGACTTGTATTAATCCCATAATACTTTCTACAGGTACCAAGCCATAGGTAAAGAAACCTGTCATAAGGTAAGCAATATACAAAGGGCATTCTAGGCCAGATTATTCTCTTATATCAGTCAAAATACAAAGGTTTTTGTTAAGTAGAATTCATTCTAGACCAGGCATTACTAAGAAGGGAATTTAGTCTACCATGTAATTTTTTTGAGCTTCTGTATTTTAGTTCAGCTTGCAGGTCAACTTTCTGCATTCCTCTACAAAGTCATTAAGTTTAGCTATTCTGGTGTTACTATCTACCAGCGGGTCAATTATGTATTCATTTAACTTTCCTGATGTGTAAAGCCCACCTGAGGACATCTATTTAGATGGGCTTTGGGTTTCAGAAGCAAAAGAGGGAATAAATTTTATAACACTGCAGTTGTACAATCAGCACTGCTAACTGAGGTTTATGCATACACTGCAAGATTTACTACTGCATTTTGTCAAAAGCCATGTTTTCAGATTTCCTCACTTGATCATACACAGGACAAAACAATGCAACAAATCCAGGGACCTAAACAAAAGTGCTTTGATGTTTTAGGAAAACGTTTAGCATCATTTGAGCACAGAGACACTATTTTAAGTCACGGCCTTGCATCCAGATTGCAAACAGGTCCTGTTGCTGGATTCCCACAAATGATGGTGGTGTAGGTCTGTACATTAATTACAGGTGGGTCTAGTAAAAAATGACAGAAAAGGTGTTTTCCTTATCAGTGGTCCAGAAAAAAGCATTTATGAAAATGTATTAGACAAAAACTAGTTTCTTTCTTGTCAAAGTTTTATTTCTGTAGTTGGCAAAATAGGAAGCTTTGGATGGTCGTGGCGTTTGGAAGATTAACAGCGATGTGTTCAATGGCTTGGTAAAGTATTCCTCTCAATCCCTGGTATTAAAGTTGAAATATTATTCACATTACGATTGTGATACAGTTTTGCAGCATCCTGAACACGTACACACAATTAACACTAAAATGTTGTTCAAGCCACAGAATTTTGCAATATAAGATCTATGACATCTGCATAACATGTAAATGAGCATTTAATGATCATCTTGCATTCCTTAGCAAGATCAGGATCTAATACAGGCAAGACACTTTGAGGAATGATTAGGTCTGAAAAGCCCACTGGTGAAGGCAACCATGTAAAAAAGATTTCTGGAAACGCAACCTTTAAAGGAGAAATGGTGGGACAAGATTTAGAGCAGAAAAAAGAAAACATACGTAGCAGGAAAGAGATTGAGAAAGAAAATGAGGCTATAGGTGACTGCTACTGCATGTAGCAGTGGAAGCTACATAATTTAGGATATGAACCTAAACAGAAGTTGTGCAGCACTTCAGAGGTGTGGGCAAAGAGCTTGCATTTGAAACACTGAAGAAAAGGAAACTGCAAAGGGTTTTAGAGACTGAGACAGTAGTTTGGCCAGAATAACAATGTTGTTATCTGACTATTGTAAAGTGGCATTTTGAGGACAGGAAGATAGGAGAAGGTTACAATAATTGAGACAAAGTGATAACCTCAGCATGGTATTTTTGCTCATAGCTTAGGAACAAAAGAAACCCACCCTGTATTCATTGCTTTTTAATTTTTCTCTGTAATTTTTATACTTGAGATAGCATGGATTGTGTTGTCATCTTCCAAACCTTGACAAGTTACTTTGGTTTTGGTATAGCATTTTTGCAATTGTTCTACAGGGCTCAGAAAAAGTCCAATTACGAAAAAAAGCAAACTCCTGACTTTTGTTCTTATTTTGCTCCTTCAGCAGCCTTTTGGAGCTAAATTTTGTACGTATACACACGTATACGTATACGTAACTGCAGACTGACACTGCGTGCGCGTGTATGTACATGTACGTTTCCAACAGTGAAAGCTGGTATGCATTCTCAGCTTAAAAAAGGAAAAAATCCGGCTCAAGCGTGTTCTGTAGAATGCCCGTTTTTCGAAGCCTGCTCCCAGCAGTGGCGGAAGCCCGTGACCGATGGTCTTCACCAGGCGGCGGCCGGAGCTCTGGGCCTGTGCTCGGCCCGCCGCCTCGGGGAGGCCGCGGGCGGAGGAAGGGGCGGCAGCCGGACCCCCCGCCTGGGCGCGGAACGCCTGACGGCCACGGTTCGGGTCTCCTCGTCCGGCGGGGCGGGCGCGGGCTCTCTCCTGTACCGTAGGCCGCCTCCGGAGGGCTCTTTCGGCCCCTTTCAATTCCACCTGTCTCCCTTTTCTGCCTTTTTTCAACTCGCTTTTGGATCGCGTGGCGGCAGGCCCCCGGGCTAGCCTCTCCGCCCGCGCCAGGCCGCCGCGGCCCAGCCGACGCCGGCGGCGGTTTCACTCGGACG